TGTTTTTAGCTTTCTTCCTGTATGGGAAGCTTTTCAAAATTTGAAACATTAATGCAGTGGTTTAAGTGGGTTAAGTTGTCGCAAGCAGGTTTTTCTTGTGTTTCTTGTAAATTTGGTCTTAAAAAGTCTTGAATTTAACTTGCCTTATGCTGTAGGAACCCTGCTTTATAAGAGATTAAAACTGGGTTTTCAACATGTTTCTGCCTTAAACACTAATTGTTATTGTCAGTAGCAAAGGCCACTTCACAGTTTTTTCCATTTTATTTGAGTAATTGGCTCAGTCTTTTACCATTACTAACTAAACAGGAGTCACTGAATCTATTTCCCATAAAATATGAACAAAACAACTTTGCTAAAGTCGATTCAGCATCACTTCAATCTTTTCCCAGTTCTAAATAAATGACCCAAAGGCAGATAAACATCAATGTCCTGTGGAAAAAAACTCCTTTATTCCACAATAGTAAGTAAATAGTTCTAACTATAGCGGTGCAAAATGGCGAAGGGACATCATGATCAGCATCTACTGCACAGAAGGTTTGTATTATCAGCTAACCTGTCTTTATGGAAAATATTATTTTCTTTTGAAATAGCTTCTTGTCACATTCCTGCTTCCTCTGACTTTTCCCATCCGGCCACTAAACGGCGAGGGTTGATTTCTCAGTGCATCTGTAGTAATTATCCCGCTTCTGACAGATAGTCACTAATATATGATTCTTCCCCCGCCGTCTCCTGCAGTACGCCTACCCACCTGATCGGAGATCCTTGCCTGCAGGGATCCCAGTCCAGACTATCTCTACCCAGTCTCTTCAAAGCAAAACTGTAAGTCTGCATCTGTGTTTTCTCTTTCTTGTGTCAATCTATAAATATTTATACGTCTGTGCGGCTTTGTTGAAGTTCCATAAACTAAGGTTTCACGGTTTGGGTTTAACCTGAATTTGTTAAAAAGAATAACACTGCTATTTCGGTCTTAAACTCTTCCCGTCACTTTCCTTGTTTAACTTTTAGAGACAGCTTTAGGAGACACTGTGCTCCAAATTGAAGGATTTCAAATCCGTCCTCTTCAAGAGTTTCTAAGGCTCCCCTCAAATCAGAGAAGCCTTAAAAGAAATCCTGGCACTCACAGCTCTCTAAGCCAGCTCAGTAGTTTATGTCAAAGCAGCACACGCTGCTGTGTTTTGATAGAGCTGCTAAAGTGTGAGTTGAACTCTGTAGCACATTGCTAACTCTTCTGTTTTTACAGCAGATGCAAACAGGTCGCACTCTTCCGGTTGTACTAACATGTGAGATAATATCCTGCTCCTCAGGTGCACGGAAACACGACAGCAGGACGTGCACACCTCTATGGATCCAAATTCCTCTAAATCTCCTTTCCTTACCTTTCCTCTGCTTCTACCTTTACGGTTTGCTCCTGTTTCATTGTGGCTGTGTGTCCCCCCCTCCCTCCCTCCGTCCCTCCTTGCAGCCTGAGGAACTGACTTTGCTGCTGATAAAGCTGCGGCGGCAGCAAGCAGAGCTAAACAGTATCCGGGACCACACTGTAGCACAGCTTATGCAACTAAACATGGATCACAACCACCCAAAGGTCAGGCCCCAGGGACATCTCTGCTGGCGTCTGTGTTAGTGTACTTGGTGTGTGTGCCATCTCCACCCACTTCCATAATCCATCTCAGTCCAGAAGATTTGGTTGCTCTTCATGCATGGCTGAACTGGGACCAACACGCTGAAGGCTAATGAAGGCTAAGGAACATGTCTGTAGTCGGTAATCATCTTTAAATAATAAGATGCCATCAGCTACATGTTGAATAATTTCACATCTGGGTTAATATAATTTTTCTGGTCATTACATTAAAAACATTTTAGCAGAGTAGGCAGTTGATGTGATTATGTCATTATCCTCCTTCTAAAGAGTGCAGATAGATTTAAGATGAAGATGAAAGTTAAAGCTGTTGGCAACCCCCTGCATCGACTAAATGAGGAGGTTAAGGTCTGTGACATAACGGGAAATTCAGGATCTTTGTGCTTTAAGATTTGATCTTTTTTTAATTTTTAATGAATGAACTTGTCCCAAGAGGAAGAATCAATCAACGGCTAATTTAATTTGCTTTTTACTGGAGATGCACCAATCAGAGTTTAGGTCAATATCTGATAAACAATTTTAAGATAAGATGACCGATCTATTTGATTTTATTTTTCAAGAACCATAAAAAAGTAGTTGTTTTCTTATTCTGGCTAAGTTAAAAAGTTGATCTGTACAGCATACAGGATTATTCTTTATTGCCAGTAGTAACAGTACAAACAATGAACACTGCAAAAACTTTTTAGAAATAAGTAAAATTCTGTCAAATTAAGTGTATTTACCCTTGATTTGAGTATGTAAATGAGATAATTTGCCAATGGGATGAGTATTTTTACCCTTAAAAGAAGATAATTAGATAATATGCACTTGAAATAAGACAATGCAATTGTGTTTTCTTATTTTGAACCAAAATTGTCTTGTTCCATTGGCAATATGTCTCTTTTATTTCCTCAATTCAAGAACAAATGCACTTATTTTAAGAAAAAATGACTTATCTAGATTTGGATGTTTTCCAATGAAGATATTCATAGACAAAAAAAAATGAGATCGAGAAAATGTTTTTTTCTGTCAATACGCTCTGTCCAGAACTCCTCATGTTGAAACGTTTTAATTTCACCTGGTTTAATTTCATAAAAAACTATTTTTTAAGGAACCTTTGGTTATCTCATTATTATTGGATAATCGAAAATATAATGGACAGATTAATTGATTTGCAAAATAAATGGTTAGTTTCAGGCCTAGTTCAGGCAACGTAAATGATGCCCTGTGGTTAAAAATAAGGGATTCAGGATCCCTTATTTTTAAATTTGTAATACTAGTACCAAACATAGCTGAACTGTCCTTCATTCAGTAACAACTTCCACTCCGAAGAGAGTTTTTTAATTTTTTTTTTTTATTGAGCTACATAGAAAAAGTGTCCTTTTGGTTTAGTTATTTTGAAATGAAGGCTTCTTGGTTGACCGTCAATCAACACCAGTTGGCTAATATCTAGGTTCATGTTTAGTTTTTACACCGCAGTGTGTTGTCATAAAGTTTATTCACATTGCTTTTTTTTTATTAAAATAAAGTTGCATCAAAGTAATGCATAACAAAAAGGTTACAGACCAGCTAGGAATCAAATACTTTGTATTTAACGTGAAATGAGACCCAACAGCTTGTCTTTGTCTTGTATTTATCCCCATTCTTCATTCTGTGGTTCTTTGACAGTTGCATGAGGCCATTCTGTCACGACGCACACGGTCACATCCAGTAGTAGCCTCATGTCGTCACGTTCTAAAGTATTGTACATCTGGTGGCTGACCTGCTTTCTCCACATCAGCTTGTCCTGCTTCCTTTTCTGTGTGGCTATATTTGGATACGTGACATGGTTATGTGATTCCTTAGAAAAAGAAAGACACACAGGAGAAACATCATGGCGAATAAAGGACTTCTTTTTTTTCTCACTCTTTTCCCTTCTCTCCTCACTCCTTTGCTGCCGCCTCTAGAACGACATTCTCTCCCATCACCTCCAAAGGAACCTCATGTATTTGGACAATCAGGTGGGGTAGTGCATGAATGCATGGCCTCTTTCCTGTGGTGGTGCTCTAAACTAACTGAATGCTTTCTTGTTGTTGTGTTCATCAGTGCCGTCTCTTCTTTAGATTTTAGTTATTTTAGCCTAATAGACTTTTGTTTCCCAAATGTCTAGCTTTAAAAGCAGTTTTATAACTAAATCCTTAGTTTTAAGTTACACCATTCCTGCCTTCCTTCCTTTAATATTTTTACTGAAAACCATAATTTTTAGACCCAAATATAATTTATGTTAAAATCAAATGAGCTGCATACTATACCCATTGTTACATATTCCAGGATTTTTGGAAAGGTAGCATTTAAAAACTCCATAACCCCCCAGTAAAAGATCTGGAAGATCAGCAGAAACAAGTCAGCAACTTTGGTGGATTATATTGCTTTCCTTTCCCTCGGCACTATAGGGCTTGGGATCCGCGTTGCATTGTGGGACGTGGCGGCCATCTTGAGGGCTACGCGAACGTAAACATAGCTCTGATACAACGTTGTTGTTGAACGAAGAGACGTAGAAGTAGAGAGAAAAAAGATGTTAAAATCCCGAAAAGGATCTAGAATTTACCGGGACACCTCAAATAGAGAAGCCAGGGACCGGTATGTTGACAAAATCAGTATTATTAATAATTTGGATCCATATGAAGTTCCAAACAATGAGTGGAGCACCGATGAGTGAGCGCCTATACTTCAAAACAGTTCCGAAGCTACAAGTCCTTGGAGTCTCATGTGCAGTTCATGAATAGATGGGTTCAGGAGCTGCAGATCATAAAGCCAGTAAACAGTGGGAACTAACCGTAACTGTTAACCGTTAGTGCTAACAACCACTCGCGCATGTAATGTACTTTTAACTAGCTGCTATGTGTTTCAAAGGTGTAGTTAGTAACGTTAACTGCCAACCCTCCTCGAACCCTCCGGGTTTCTCACGTATTTGAGCCTTTTCCCGCTGCCGTTTTTATTATTTTCCTGTAAAAGATCCCAACTTTGAAGGAAAGAAACAATGTAGGCTATAAAATAAAACCGCGCATCTTTAACTTCCCAGAATGAAAATGCAGGGAACACACTCTCATTGGCATCAGGATACGTGGAAAGTTATGTTCGGTCGTCTTACAGCCGCGATCCAAGCTAGCCGACGACTCTTTGTTATCTCGGACACTTGGTCTCCGTGGTTGCGCCTCCAGGCAGGAAAGCGGTGGAAAGTTAACCCATTTTCTATGTTGGTGATAGACGAGCCAAATAAACCAATCAGATCAACGAAGCATATGACGTACTAACAGAGCGACGACGAAGAGGAGCCAATTGATAGATCAAACTCTTGCTGAAACCAGTTGGGAGAAGAGCAAAAACATCTTTTCCTCTGAGAAAAGCCTCCAGAGCAGTGTTTTGCTCTTCTTTCAGTGAAGAAATACTCTGTAATTCCGATAAAACTTGCTCGATAGCCACGCTAACGCTAGTTTCATCGGCTGAAGCCGCCATGTTCTTTAGACTGAACTGTCGAGCTTCTCGTTGCGTCACACCTCAACCCGCCTCAAACCCAACGCTGATTGGACGTTCGTTTGGTGAACGGCTCCAAATTTTCTTTAAGGGAGAGTCTCCAGACTGATTAGCGAGTGAAACCTTGAAAGCTCGCGAGATCAGGATGGTCTCAAGAGGTTTACCATGGTTGAAACCAAGTTAAGGTGAAATTAATCAAATTAAAACACGGCTGAGAGGGAGTACAGTACGCGGTAGTCGTAGGCAGTAGTCTGAGCAGCGGTAAAGGAGGCCATCAACATGGCGGCCACGCAAAGTAATTACGTCATGACGCCCAAGCCCTATGGTGGAACTATGTGCATCAAGGAAGTAATATCAGAGCAGCGGCAAATCTCACCCATTTTTATATCTATTTTGCCAAAGAAAATGGCTGTTTTGCAGGTTACTCTGCAACATGGTTGTGCTGCTGGTTATTTGCAACTTTCAATTCAGATATTACTCTTCTGATTACCTTTTATTGTTTGTTCTTTTTTTTTGTAAAATTCAGTAATACAAATTTCTGCTCAATTTAAATCCTCACCCAAGTCTGATTAAGGTTTTATTATGTCATTTCATGTGCAGAACCATTGTTTGTGTTCCTTTACAAGTATGTTTTCCTCCATCTAAAATCACACCTATTAGGGGTGTAACTATGTGCAAGATCTTTCATTATTATTATTGTAGAGTGATGATTATTGTCAAAATAGAGGCCGCATGGAGAAAACCCTGGACAGCACGATATTTGAAAATGCCCTAATGGTGATATTGCTAAATATTGTAAAGATCATATCAGCTATGGTGAATCCAGGCCTTATTCTGACATGTGCTTCCAGCACTCTGTAATATTTAGCATCTAGGACACTGTAATCTGTGTCAGATATGAACATCTTTTGCAATCAAACTGCATCCACTGTGTGGAATAGCTTGGCATGCAAATTGTTTATTCTTTTAAATATTGCAGTTAGAAAGAAAATGCTTTAATAAACTCCACAGTAACTGTCAGTGCTTTGTTTGGGCAATGTTTTGCACTTCCTCCCATTAGTGCAACAAACAGCAGAGACAGCGGGCTTGTGGTTAGAACAAATCTGGAGATGTCGTCCTGCACCAGTCTTTTGCAGAGGATGATTCTTATTTTGGGATATTCATGTTAAATCGAGATTTTCCCCCAAATCTACTTCGGCCTAGAGCATGTGAACGGAGCGGAGCACAATTCCTGCTCCCCGCTCAGGAGGGTGTTCGCTCATTCGCACCACCGCTCAAAGTTATGACGAAGCGAGGAAGCGTCGCTCAAAATCTGCTCCGCACTCACGCACTAATTTCCTGCTGCTCCAGCGAAATCGCTTCACACTCACTCAAATGTTCAGGAGAAGGTATTTTCTGACATTTTTCTTCATGTAATGATGCCAGAGCCCTGGGACTCATGGCGTTTGATTTAATGACGTGAGCGATACATGTGTATTGTCTTGTTTAACTGGCTGTTAAATTATCGCACCCATTTGTGAAGGTAACACCTCGCTCCATTCATGTTGCCCCAACTTTCCTATTTAATTATTAATTGTCGAAGGAAATCACACTTAAATCAAATAAATGTTATTATACATATTTTATAATAAAATATTTTTAATTGACGCTGTGAGCGCATTGGAGCAAAATCCTCGCTCCGGCCTTTAAATTGAAAATTGCTCTGCACTTAATCATATTTCTTCCGCTCACATGCTCTGCTTCGGCCCTAAACTAAAGGTCCAGTTCACATATTTTAACGATTCTTGATCACATGAGAAATATGATTAGTTATTAGGCTTTAACTGAGTAATTATTCGGGGGGTAAATCAAATCCATCATGGATGATTCAGTATCGATTTCCTGACCCAGCGATTCGATTATTTTCGATACTCAAGGATACACCACGATTCGATTCGATTAATCGGTTAATTTTTTATTTTTTTTTACACCTTACAGGCTAAACAAAGTTTCAAGTTTGAAATAAATTAATGAAAGTTGTAATATCGTTATGCATTTTTTTTTAGAAACAACAGCAAATAACAGAAGTAGAAAAGTTGCATCAAAAAATACTGCACAATATCAGTGCAATTCAACACCTCGGCTCCAGACGTCCCGCCCCCTCCACAGACGCTCCGCTGCTCCTCTCCCAAATTGTAGCTAACCGCAGACAGTGCAGCAGACAGGAGGCCGGCTTGTTTTGTTTTTATGACCGAAATTGCGGAAAACAACTCGTGAAGTTTGACGCTAGAAGAGTGAGGTGCGCGAGAATGCTGGGACCTTTTTTCCACCTGGATCTCCGCTCTTTTTGGCCCTCATGTCCCTCCGTCGTCGGACTAAACTCGCCCCCACTTCCTCGCCGCCTCGGCCGTATCTAGACCCACAGCGTGTAGCACAGACCACGCTTCAATACTGAGCATAAATCAAAAATGTCTGCGTCAAGCTCACTGCAACACACTGCTGTAAGAGTATAACCAGGAGGCGAGGTAGGAGGGCAAAATAGGTTTAGCGCCACCGCAGCACGGGAGGGAGAATTACGTCCAGGAGCAAATGGATTAAAATGGCCCGGAGGGGAAAAAAAACATGAATCGATTCTCTTGCGGACGGATCGATGCATCGGATCGTCGGCTGTTGGATCGATGCATCGATACAAAACGATTATTATTTACACCCCTAGATAGATTTGTGAAATCTTTAATCTGTGGAGTTTTTAAGCAAATCCTTAGAATTATGCACAGTATGATTGAATTATATTTCTATTCTTTAAAACAAAAGACTTTCAGTTTTCCCAAAGATTTTAATAGTTTTCTGTCTTTTATTGAGCTCAGTATGTTTTCTATCGTCTGATCTTATGAGCCAGAATGCATCGTTACTCCCCTAATTAAAACTGTTTGTGTTTGTAGATATATTTTGCAGCTTTAGTTTGTGCAAATTTTCTTATATGTATTTTTTTTTAATTATTAGAAGTTGGTTTAATAAAGGTATGCTTGTTTTATTGCTTTCCTGAACCACGTTAATGTTTTATTTTATAAAATGCTCTGCACGGTGCAAAAAGCCTCAATAAAACAGTGATAATTATCATTACACAGCTTGCTTCTGATGTTTGTCAACAGAGAAATAATTACCACCTCACTCATTTTTTTTTTTTTTGGCTCAACGATTGAAGGCAACAGAAAAGCCAGCTGCTTTAGTATTAATACAATAAGTGACGATTTTAAAAGGAGCTTTGTACTGCTAAGACATAAAGCCTCTTAGCGCTTTGCACCACATCTCTGTGTGTAAGTATGACTTATTGCTTCTTAGAGCCGCATCCATCCCTGTTATTTGTGGATGCACATGTTTATGTCTGAGTGGCTTTCATTAGAGACGTGCTCTCACGCTGTGGCTTTTGTCTCAGAACTCAAGTGCCCTGCTGTAAACCTTCTGACACTCTCTGTATCGCTCCTCTTCACAATGTACTAGATGAAGG